ATGCTCAAGTTCCCTATAAAGTGACATATACATCAATGCTGCAGTTGAACCTCTACATCTACAGACTCTCAACCTCAGATTGAAAACAATATTGGTATTGATTGAAAAAAAAATCCATATATAAGAGGGCCCATACATTTAGAACCCATGTTGTTCAAGGGCCAACTGTACTACCTAAACTATATATCATAATGCCCTTCTATAATAAGCATCTAAAAGGCTTATTGTCTTGATTGTCTCATTTGATTCTTCTCTCTTGCAGATGGACCCCCACGAGAACATCTTACTGAGCACTCTAGAGATAAAAAATGAAATGGCCACATCTGAGGCTGTGATGGGACTTGGAGACCCCAGGAGCACAATGCTGGCTTACGATGCGGCCAACATCCAGTATCGGAAAGCCGGGCTGCCCAGGCATACTTTTGGCCGAAATGCCCTGGAACGACACGTGGCACAGAAGAAAAGCCGCCTGCGGAGACGCGCCTCCCAACTGAAAATCACCATCCCCGACTTGACTGATGTGAATGCCATAGACCGGTGGTCCCGCATATTCTTCCCAGTGGTTTTTTCCTTCTTCAACATCGTCTATTGGCTTTACTATGTGAACTAAAACATAGCCTCCCTCGGGAAGCAAGGACTAGATGCCTCCTCAAACCAGTTGTACAGCCTGACGTAGGACTTGGAAAACACATCAATCCAGGACAAAAGTGATGCTAAAATACCTTAGTTGCTGGCCTAGCCTGTGGTCCATTTCATACCATTTGGGTTGCTTCTGCTAAGTAATGAGTACACTAAGGGCCTTGTGATTTTGCAGTTAAAATGCAAGTGATTTGTACACATGCTGGCAAGACTGAGTCTGAGTGTTCCACTTCATCTGCTTAGTGTGCAACCGACATGGAGGGGAATTATTTAGAAGGTGTTCTTAGAAGGCTCGATAGCACTATCAGTCATTTCTCTGAGAAGTCATAGCCAGATATTCCATCTTCCTTCCCAAGGGTGGCATGCTGCTGAGAGGACACCATGCTTAGGAAACATTATCCTCAATGCCATGCGAACATGCTTACAGAAGATGGTCTCTGCCCATCTTATTAAGGTGATAATGGTGCCCTGGGATGAAAATTCCCACTGGATACTAGAAGGTTCTCATGTAGTTCAAACAAGATGTGGGGAGTCAAGACAGAGATTCAGGAAGGCCAGTTTCAGATTGCTTGAGCACTGGGAATCAACTATGACGTCTTCCATTTTGGCATATGGAGCCCAGGAGAATTCTAAACGTTATGATGCATGATGACCAAAGAAACTTTTCTAAAACTCTATTCCCTAGGTGGTTAAAAGAAGAGTTAAAAACCCAGAGCAGAGTGGGAAATCCAGAAATGACTGTTGGAACAAAATTGAAGCAAGCAAGTATCATGACCCTTATCAATCCACTCAGCTTCTGGTTTATACATATTATGGTCAGTGGCAAAGGTAGAATGAGAGATATTTTTGTTCCAACTTCACAAGCTTTTGAAAGCATGCCTATAGAGGCTTATATAATTTATTTAATTAAAAGACACCCACAAAAGAGAAAAGTTAGCCAAATTAGCATCATCTTAGATGCAGGTTAGATTGAGAGTTATCCAATATGTGAATATAAAGCGCAAACAGGTTGCTATTCTCACACTACATCAGCTGTCTCTGCAACATTTTTCCCTATAAGTTCATTTTTGACTTAAATAGGGTATTTCCAAAGAGGGATTTGTTCGCTTCTTTAAAGAATTAATGTTCCTTTCCAGCTTTCTTGCTTCTGAAATTCTGATTATATTCTTAGGAGACAGAAGAAGTAAGGCTTTGGAGAGATTGAGTGAACTCTATTTCCAAATGTGCAATGAAATTCACCTTGCTATTTTTCATAGCAAACAGTACTTCGAAGATTATGTGCACAAGTAGAGCTAGTTTGTGAGTTTATTAGGTTTTATTCTTTTAAGGTTGCTTTTGTTGTGTATATTACAATCTCTCCAGTCAAGGAAAATATGATAAGAGTGGAAAATAGGATAACAAAGCCACATTAACTGATGAAGGATATGGACCTCAGTTGATACTGCAGAAAAATGTCTAACTGATAATCAGGTAGGCACGATGTATTGTTTTATTCCATTTTCAAATTGTCATTGTACTTTGTTCTATACCAATTAGACAAATGCATTCATATGTTGGACAGTAAGAAGAGTAAGCTAATATATTTTTATTTCTATTCATGTGAGGTTTACATTTTGCTTTTTTCATTGAGAAAATAGTAAACTGCTTAATTTCCCATAAAGTTTGATTTGATTGAACTTCCCTTTGGAGCATGACTTTGCTATGTCTATTTAAAAAACAAAAACCACTTCTTTTCAGAGTAACATTTCCTAATTTTGCATAATAGCCAAGATCATTATCTGACTGTGGATAAATGTTATGCTTTTCCCCCCTGATGATTTAGCTGCTTGGAATAAGGTAGGTCCTATTGTCCTTCTATTTCAAGTATCTGACAAGAAGAAGGAAAAAAAGTTTAGTACTTAGCCTTCTGAATTAGATGATATTTTTCTCCCCACCTGTATCAGGGACTGTGGCCCTTATTTCTTGATTATACACTTGAACACCTCTGAGTATGATCTGTGGGCAGAATCCATCCAAGCTTCCGCCCATGGGCTCAGAGTAGAGATTCTTTAAGCTTCTCCAGGGACACACTTCCACGTAGGCAGCAATCTGGGGGCACCACGCTAATAAAAGTGCCTGCCCCTTGTCACCAGGGGTTAGTCTGAATAGCATATACCAGGAAGGAGCATATTAATAACTCAGGTGCACAACTCCAAAATGCCATTCTGGAATGGTTTTTCTAGAGACAACCCTGAGCCCAAGTCAAGAAGTGGGCTCTTATTTGTAATTATTGTAAAAGCCATAAAAATCCTTGGTATTGTCACGTAACAAATATTTGATATCTGAAGAAGTCAACAGAGTAATCTAAATCAGAGTGGAGAGAAGCAACCTCTGAGCATGAGCGTCAAAAGCATATAACCGGGGATTCATTTCTACCCCCAGTGATAAGCAGAATCTGGAAAAGGAGAAAAGATGGAAACTGGAACAGATGCCCTAGAGCAGAATCCATATGTTGGCATTCAATAACCACGTAGTTAGAAACAACTGACTCATCTTGCCCAGAGGTAACAAATGGTAGATATAGAATTTATTCTTTAACTATATGTTTACTGTGGTTGAATTGGTTTGCGAGGACGGGGTCGGGGAAGGGTGTTTGGTTAAAATTAGGGACCACAAAAGTGTGTTTTGGCAATTCTGATATTCTATTGCCATCAGCTTATACATTTATGTACAGGTTTTTTTAAATTATAAAACAGCCAGATAGCCAGCGATTAAGGTGTTTTTTCATCTTTGTGATATTCATAGGCGAATTCTGACTCTAAAATTCACAGTCGAAATGAAATCTTTGATCTCAATCTGTATATATATACATATTGTACATGACTGCTAGTAGGTATGAAATGCATTTTCAGAACTGAAAACTCATGCAACAACATCATGTGTTTGCATAGGGAATGTTACAGTTCTTTCCACTACAGTTTTACTAACGGGAAAGACATAAGATAAGCAGTGCCGTCTAGACATTTCCTCTTCTCATTTCTTCAAAAGCAGTGCTCGGTTAAAAAAAAAAATAATAAAATAATAATAATAATAATAATAGTTTATGAACCAAAAGACTTTACATTGTAGCTTTAGTAACAACAAAGATAAGATATCTGTCAGCTTTAAAAAGCACAACACATAGAGAAAGTTCAGTAGAAAGCATAAAGGAGAAATGAATCATGCTTATTTTAAGCCAGACCTGCATTAAATTGGCAACTCACCCAATTTTCATTTTCTATAGATAACAGTATTCCAGTCTTATGATTAACTTCATACTCAACAACAAAAACAACCAAGCAATCAACAAACAACAGGTCATACAACAGTGTACATGTATATATGTATATAGAGAGATCCATATAAACACACATGCATATATATGCATTCATACATTGGAAAACAAAAGGAATAAGCTAATATCTTCTATTTCCTTCATTCAACCAGTGTATGAGTGCTTTTAACTTGGCAACACAAATCCACATATTGAAACAAGTGATACAGGGTACTGAGCATTTCTCTATCAGCAAATAATGCCTACTGTTCTTAGGAACCATTGCACAATCCGACACTACAATAGTGCTGTACCTCAGAACATTGGAAACCACTAGCTCTCGCATTGCTTGTCTACTTGCTCTTTTTCAAGGAAACAAATAACATTATCCATTGGTCATTTAAAAACAAAAATGTCTTAAGAAAACAGAAAATGATTTTTAAAAATCCTTCCAGGAGGAGGAAAAAAAATAACTAAACCTCACCATGTTGGTTAGGGAAAATATCTCAACTGTAGCAATCATGCCATTTTGCTAAGTGTACAGAGTCTACGTAATGTGAGCAACCATAACTTTCACTGAGTGTGTGTAAATATTAAAACGGATTTCTTAAATATTTTTAACTTCTAATTTGTATTTTATGGTAAGGCAGTGTGAGAATTCTGTGTATGGCTTATGTTGATGTGTTATAATAGACTGTAAATAATTAAATATGCTGTAAATCAAAGTCAATAGATACAAATAATTATTTCATTTTTTCTCAATTTTTATTTCTTTTTTACTAAGTACAGTTACTGCAGTGCCCCAACAGAGTAATTGAAACATCCATTTTGCATAAATGGTTTGGGATCCCAGATAGAAGGATTTCAGTTTGATAACACACACACATCTACACACACGTGCTCACTCACACACACCTGCACACACTCACTCATAGACTCATACATATCTACACATACACACTCTCAGTCACACACATCTACGCACACGCACTTGCTCACACACACACATGCATCTACACACACATTCAAACACAATATTCTTTCCCTTGCCCACTCACTCCCACTCTTACTCCCTCTATGGGAAACACACAGTATTCATGTAGTGAATGTAACAAACCAAGAGAGAGCCTTAGAAATGGCAATTGGGAAAGCAGAAATCATCATCATTTACTTGAAAGGGTTTTTATGTGTCAGAATTCAAGAAACCAAAGGTGTAACTTACATGTCAATTTTCAAAGAGTAAAAGTTTCTATTGACAGCACTACGGGAAATAAAATTGCTTATGATGCATACCTGCTTCAGAAATTTGTTACACACAATACATCCTAGAAGTCCTTTTTTTTAAATAATAGCATTTTGTCCTTAGATAGCATTCTTTCTTTCAACCAAAGATTCCAGTTATTAAAAAACAAAAAAGGAAAGAAAAAATGAAAAATGAGGGAAAATAAAAAAAAGACACTGCTTTACACCAAAGGTATGAACACAATTTTCCAAGTAGACTAGGAACATTGTCAAAAATAGTAAAGAGCCAACATAATGCTAATTAAGATACTACCCTAAAGAAATCATTTAAGAAAAAAATACATAAAAGCAGCAGTACTCTTAAATATCTGTTGTTATTTGGATAGGGAAGTAAAACATTTCTATAGATGTTTGGAAAATTGTAACATCAGATATTAATTTGTGCAAAATTGTGACATCAGATATTAATTTGCTTTGAGAAGTTCTTTTGTGACAACTATGATCCAAAATGATGAAAAACAAAACTTTGTGTTTTTTAACTTTCAAAAGCAAATGTCTCTCTCCTGTCTCATGTCCACTAAGCTGATGCCCGTGTGTGTGTCCTTGCACTGTTTTTCCCTTTGAGGTTCAGTAATTTGTGTTCACCCACACTCCTTTTTAACATAATTCAAAGTTGCAAATAATTTAAGTTCCATAACATTTTTTAAATTTTTATTTGCATGGGTGTTTAAATAGTTTTGTTATGAATATTGTCCCTGCGCAGTTCTGAATTGTCCTTTTATAAAAAGTGATATTCTAGTTCCTTCACAATGTAGTATCTATCCGCCTTACTATTTACCTTGTAGCCTTTCTTAATATGCACATAATGCAGATTTTCCAATGGCTAGGAAATGCAAACCACAAGTGGATATCATCACATCTATTTTTCATGTCTTTCTAAAAACAGGACTACTAACATCTCTGGGATACATGAGATAGTAACACATGAGGATTACAAATGAGTAGCACATAAGAATTATTTTCTTGAATTTAAACTTATTGCAGTCAGTTTCAGCATGTAAATATATAATAATGTTGGCTAGTGTGTAATTCTTGAACTAAAAAATATAAATAAAACTTGAAAGGATGTGTGTGTGTCGTTTCATTGGGCTCAGAAATTTTTTTCTCTATTAGTATGGGTTAGGTTAAGGAAGGAAGGCTTTTATGAAGAGCAAGGAGGAGCTTCGGAACTTGGGACCAGCTGTTGGGCAGACTTGAATTTGAGCTCTGAATTATAATATATTAGGTATCCTAGAGGCCCGATGCATGAAATTTGTGCAAGAGTAGGCCTTCCTTCCCCTGGCTGCGGGCACCAGCTTCCCTCTGGCACCCAGGACCCGGGCTTCCCTCCTGCCACTGACAGGCACCTGGGACCTGGGCTTCCATCACAGCCCTGGCTTTGTCCAGAAGGTCATCCAGTCTAATTAGCATATTATGCTTTTATTATTATATAGATGATTATGCAGCTACTTAATCTCAGTTTTCTTATCTGTAAAGCAAAGATATCATTGTAATTGTACATCCTTCAAAGGGCTATTGTGAAGATGAAATGAAATAACCCGTAAGAAGTTCTTAGCACAATACGAGACACGTGATAAGTGGTGTGTAAACAGTAAGTAGTATTGTTGTTCCTCTTAAGTATCGTCATTACTAGAATATTCAGTACATATATCACACAATCTTATTATGCTCATGATTATTAAATGTTCTGGTAGATTAGATATTTTATATTGAGGATAATCAAGAACTTGGCTTCAATTATGAAAACATGGTAAATATAAGGTGCTCATTCATTTAACATTCAACAGATATCTGCTGAAGACATTATGCTAAGTACCTTGCAAATTTAATATTCATCTAATCCTTACCATCTTCCTAAAACTTGAAGACACTCAAGATCAGAAAGAATAAGAATCTTGCCCATGAGCATGAAAGAACTGGATTTCTACCCAGCCTGGAGTGAAACCTCAAATCCTTGCAATTTCTTCCCATCTCATCATTAAAAGTAAGTGACCGGGCTCATTTAATTCTCATGATTTTGGTCGTTTCTCAAGAAACGTGTGCTGAGAGCCCACCATCTGCCAGATCTCATGCTGGGTTTGGAAAGATAGAGGCCTGACCTGGATTACAGGGCAGCTCTCTAACACATGGGAACTCTCCCGAGACTGGTGAGTCCACTGGTGACAAGCCTGGTGTCTTTCACTCTGAGAGATTTCAGAATGTCCAAGTAGTTGCCCCATTTGACTCTGTCAGCTTGAGCGAGGTGACCTGTCAGGATAAAATTGCCCATTAAAGTCAGGATTTACAGGAGATATAGCTACTAAGGGCTGACCACTGATAAGACTCACCTGTAGGAAGAGTGCCAACCCGGTTCTTCTCAATCTTATGATGTAAATTGCAAATTGTATAATCTAGAAGTGTAAAGTACATGGACATTTGACATCCTCCTGCTACGTTGTCAGCCTATCTATCCAACAGAATATGCTCAAACCCCTGAGCATGTGAGTATGAGCCTATGTGAGTGGGGTATGGTGAGAGGTCTGTTGCTTACCTTGGGAAGAGAATATTCCTTGATATTTCCCCCAGCACAAGAAGAGATTGATTGGTAATTAGAAAATTCCCCCACTCACATTCTAACTACTACAATTTCCTAAAGTGGAGCTTTCAATATCTTGCTCTCCTCTGAAATTTGTTCGAATTCTGAAATACATGTGACATTTTTCATGCTGAATATTTCTCTAAGCCACAAAACCCACCTCCCAGGATAATACCAGTTTAGTGGGGAAAGTACTCAGGGATGATAGTAGGCCCAATCAGTCTGTAATCCTTGAGTTTTTAAAGCAGGCAGTAGCAAAATAATGTAAACCCATTTTTGTCCCTAAAATTGCGGTGTCAGAGCACTAGCCAATATGCAAGCCCTCTGCCACCCTACCCACCATGGCATCACTCCTCATGGTAGCTTGAATCAGAGAATAATCTGGGGTGACAAGTTTCAGACAAGCCCCAGAATGATTAGGCTTCTTTGAACCAAGCCTGATTGAAAAAAATGGAAGGATTTTCTTCACCTAGTGTTCTTTACATGCTTAAAAACACAATTGGAGGGATTGAAGACTCACTTGAGGTTGGCAACCTTTCAGAAGTGGCTTTCCAAATCTTTATTTATGCATTCTATTTTCTATTCCACTTGCCAGAAATTCTTTTAGAAGATCTCTCTCTCTCTCTCTCTCTCTCTCTCTCTCTCTCTCTCTCTCTCTCTCTTTCTCTTTCCTTCTCTCTCTCTCCATCTAACTCTTGATGCATGCGAAGTACAACATGATTAATAAATAAAAACTGTTTTACCTGTTTTAAAAGCCTTCATCTAAAATTAAATTACAGGGATCTTGCCAGTTTGAAGTAAGCTTTTCCCATTTCACCGTTGGCAGATATTAAGGGTGCTGGCTCCTGGCTCTGGTTCTTGTTCCAGGAGAAGTCTCAGAGCACTTGGGATGGCCCCTTTGGGAGCCCTGGTTTGGAGGGGACAGGAAAAAACAAATGCTCAGAAAGCTCCCCAAGCCCACACAGCATATGCAGACCTGGTGAGGCCTCCTGCTTCCAGTATCCTCTTCCCAGCTGTATTAGTCTGCATTCTCCAGAAAAACAGAGCCAATAGGAAGTGTGGGTAAGTATAGAGAGAATTTAAGGATTTTGTTCATGCAATTTTGGAGGCTAGCATGGCCAAAATCTTCTGGGTTGACCAGCAGGCTGGAGACCAGAAAAGATCTCATATTGTGGTTCAAGTCCAAAGGTTATCTGTTGGCCAAATTTCTTCTTGCTCAAAGGGCCTTCACCTGATTGGATGACGCCCATCCATATTATGGAGGGCAATCTGCCTTACTCAAAGTCCATTGATTTAAACGTTAATCTCATCCAGAAACAGCCTTATGGAAATACCTAGAATAACATTTGATTACATATCTGGGTATCATAGTCCAAACAACTTGACATATAAAACTAACCAGCACCACAAGCCCATGCCCAGATATCTAATCATGTCATGTCCCTTTATGAAACCTTCGAAGTTCCTACCTTAGCCTAAGGAAAGCCTAAGTTGATCATGATACTCAAGGTCCTTTGTGATCTGTTTGTTCTTCATTTTTAATTTCTAGACCTTGTATTCTTCATCCTGCCCTTGAATCCCAGGCTCCCACTAGGTTGAATTACTTTCAATTCCATGGGGACACTGTTCGCTCCCTTGCCTCTAGCGTTTGCTCTTACTGTTTCTTCCTAAGGTACTTTTCTTCATCCCCGAAACTCACTCCCTTATTAATTCCTATTCATATTTTCCAGGTAAAAACTTAGACATCACTTCATTTGGGAGAGTTCTCCTGACTCCAAAAACTGATGATTAATCCCAGCAGTCGGCACCCTGCTTAGCACAGCATCTGCTTAGTAACTGTTTGTTACATAACTGAATAAAGTCTACGTGTTCTGCAGAACCAAGAATAATCCTGAGTATGAGTAAGTGTAGTGTCAGGTGACAGCCTAAGCTATTTAACAATGGGTACTTTTGCTCATGGAACCAACGTTCTTAGCACTCTCTGGATTTTGCTCCCACTTCTCAGGGTCCTTTGCTGATTTCTCATCTGCTTGACAACCTCTTCACACTGGAGTGCCTCTAATTTATATCTTCATTCCACTCTCCTTTCCTAAACTCCAGTCATTTTCTTGACATTATATTTTGGATAGCAAATGGACATCCCAAACTCAAAATGTCTTTCCCCCCAAATGGGTGGCAACTTCAGTTACTCTGACAAGAAAAACCCTGTAGTTATTTTTTATTCTTCTTTTCCTCTGACCTTGCATCTAATTCAGCAGAAAAGCATGGTGGCTATAACTTCAAAATGTATCTTGACTCCTCACCCTCTTCCCTGCACCATCCTTGTCTGAGCCACCACAGGCTTTACCTAGACTATTCTGAGAACCTGGTCTTCTTGATGCTGCCCTACAGACTGTTGTCAACACAGCAGCCACACTGATCAGTTTAAAAGGTAAGTCAGATCGTAGAATTGCTTTGACCAACTCCCTAACTGGTGGCACCTTAGCCTTTGGGAGGTTGGACAAGTGAATGCTTGCTTTCATTTTTAATACTTTACTATTAAGAGAATTGCTAAGTCAAATTATATGGACCTTTTTGAGGCTTGAATGCACACCATCACTTTGTGCTCATCTTCCGTAAATGAGAGTATCTGGTTTCCCAATTCTCTCCAATGTTGTTATAATTTTGTCTCATGTTAAAAAATTTTTCCAATTTATTAGCCAGGAAATATAGCCATTTCATTTTGTATGTATTTGGTGGTTAGTGAGATCTATGCTTATCAGTCACTTTTCTTTCATGCACTGCCTAGAAATGGCAAGTTTGAAAATAGGCGCAGTTCTAGGCTAACAAAGTTGAACTCAATGAAATGACAGGCAGCTTACAATGGAACCAGTACTCCCAAATAATTTTTCCTGAAGGATGTAAGAAAATGTTTATTATTTCCAATTCCCTTTGGTTTAGTCCTTTGCTTTTCTTCTCCTACTAATGAATGACCAAGAACCCAGATGCATATCTTTGTCAATGAGTGTCCTTCATTGTTCTTTTGCCAATGATTATTTATTATGCATATATTATAGGTATATATTTGAGGACACTGAAATGTCCATCTAGGGTTTCTAAATAATGGAAGAAGCTGGGTAAATAGACACATTATTGTCAAAATTATTCCAGAAGAATTCATATAAGCCTGAGGATTCCATCATTCCTTAAGGGAAATAAGTTGCAAGATTCACAAGTGTTGTGTTAACATAGAATAAAAGTTAGGTTCAGGGACCCTTTGTAAGTTCTGCAGTTCTAGAAGGCAGCCATCTCTGATATCCCTCAAGAATATGTCTGAATTGGTATAGTATCAGTTTTAACTTTTCTAAATGCTCCCACAGAATTTTTAGAGATGTAGAAGACTAAGACCAAGAGAGGATTAAAAGCTAGGTCCCCTGGTACTTAATCCAACATGCTATCATTACAGTGTGTCCTTTCCAATATAACCCAGCAATTACAGATGATAATGACCAAA